CCAAAGGAGTACTGAGGATTGAGCTTGGTACCCCAAACACCAGAAATGAACTGACACCTCAAATCTATTACAATTTAATCCCTCTTGAACATTTCAAATACTTCCACTGAAATAACAACAGGTATTTTGAAAGAAAAAGACAACTTGACCAATATATGACTCCAAATGCAAAAATATAGGAAATATGAAAAACCAAGGCACCATGATTCTCCAAAAATTACTAATTCCACAATAATGGCACCTGATGAGAGTGAATTAGATGAAATTCCAGAGAAAGAACTCTAAAGAATGAGTGTAAGTACCATCAAAGAAATAAAAAAGGACACAAACTTCTGAATTAATTCCAAGGAAGGAGTAAAAAACTTCAGGTCAGTATATTAAAGTAGAAGTCAATAAAGAATTAGGAATGCTGAAAAGAAATAACACAAGAAAGGAAACTTGCAATAAGGCAAACAGAAATGTCTGTGGGAAGATGCATCAGTAGGAAGAACGAAAGGGAAGAGTTAGGACGTTCAGTCGATGGCAAAGAAAAATAATAAAACGTGAACAGAGTACTTGAGTTTCATGGGACACTATGATGAAAATCTATGAGTCATAAGCATAGAAAAAGAAGAAATTCATACTAAAGGGATAGAAAACAGACAGCAAGATCATGGTTGAAAAAGGAAAGAGATAGATTCAAGAGGTATTTTTAAAAACCAAACAAGACTGTAGAAGAACCTGCCCATGTCATAGTATAGAAAGAATACTAAAATATACAGAAGAAAGTATATTGAAGTGTGAAGAGAGAAAAACCAAGTCTCATATAAAGGTAGTTTCTTTATAACGATGTCAGATTTATCGACACAACTTTAAAAGCCAGGAGTCCTTAGAGTATTGTGTTTAAAGCTCTGACAGACAGCAGCTGCAACCCAGAATATTATACCCAGCAAAACTATCTGTCATAATTAAAGGAGGAAAAAAATGGTAAACACAAACTAAAGAAATTCATGACTTAAGAGTAACCTACAGAAGGTAGTCAACCTTCTGAGAAGGGAATGTTCATGATGCCACTGGAAAGAAGAAACCAGGACAGTAGTCAAGCAAACGAGGAGCTAGAAAACACCAAACAGTACAGAGCCAGTGAAACAGATAAGAATGCATACCTTTCAGTAATAACCCTGAGTCTTAATGGTCTCGATTCTCCTAATCAAAAGACACAAAATATCAGATTGGATTTGAAATTAAGATCTATTTGTTGCCTCAAAGAAACACGCCTCACCATTAAAGACAGTCAACCTCAGGGTGAAAAGTTAGAAAAGGCATTTAAGCACATGGAACTAGGAAGGAAGTAGGTTTTGCTGTTCTAACATCTGACAGGATAGAATTCAAACCAAAATTAGTCAAAAGAGGGACCATCGATGTTTGTAAAAGCACTCGTCACACAAGCCAAAAGATCTGAGTCAAATTTCTGGAATTCATAGAAAGCCTGATGTCCTGGAGCACATCTGTAATCCCAGGACTCCTACAGTGAGATGGAAGGCAAAGACATGAGAGCCATCCAGAAGCTCATTCCAGTTACTGGAATTTTCCAGAGTGGCAGAATTAACAAAAGAGACCTCACCTCCATAAAAGCAAAGGCTGAACGGGAGAAGCTACTCCAAAGAGCTGTTCTCTGACCTCCATGTGTGCACTGTGGTATGTCCACATCCTTACACAAACACACAATAATAATCTAATAATTCAGTCAAAAAAGATTAAGTCACTATGTACTGAATAAAGGAACAACTCAATGTTCACCTCTTCTCCCCGCTTGCACACGCTGGGAAACCCCATCTTGCAAGGTATGGTGGATGGGTAGGTTTTCATTATAGATACAGCCAGGGGCATCTGGAAAAGCCCAGAGCAGGGAGAGAAAGTAATAGACTGAAAACGACTAGCAGATGGACAGGGCCATGAGAGAGAAGAGAGACTGAGAAAGAAGAAAGGAGCCAAGGGGACCAAGAGAGAGGGGCAAGAGAGGAAGACAGAAGAAGAGCACATGGTGGAAATGACAGGGTTCTTTGGGAATGAGACGCTGGGTGAAGGAAGCCCGTGAGCTGGAGAGATTCAGGATAGGGAGCAGGGCGAGGCGAGCTGAGAAGGTCCACAGGCGCGGAGTGAGCCTGCAGGCCGCCATGTGCTTGGGTGTGCTAATAGGCACCACGGATAGCCATCTGTCCAGTTGCTTTTGGACTTGACAGTTCTTATACCAAACCACACAAAGACACAACAACAACAACAACAACAACAAAAGAAAAGTATAGACCAATCTCCCTGTTAAACTTAGATATAAAAAAAAAAAAAAAAACTCAGTAAGGTACTTGCAAACAAGGTTTAAGAAGAAAATAAAAAGGACTACTCACATGATCAAGTTGTCTTTATTACAGAGATGCAAGGATGAGTCGGCATATGCAAATCAATAGATGTAATGCATCACATAAATGGACTCAAGAACAGAAGTCACATGATATTCTCAATAGATGCAGAAAGGGTGCTTGGCAAAATCCAATATTCCTTCATGATAAAAGCTCCAGAGGCTAGGGACAGAAGGGACACATCTCAACATAATTAAGGCTCTATATGTCAAATCTATGGCCAACGTTACACTAAGTGGGAAAAGATTCAAAGTGTTGCACTAAACTCAGGAATGAGGCATGGGTGTCCATTTTCTCCTCTTTTTTAACACTGTGCTTAAAAGACTTAGCTATAAGACAAGAGAAGGAAAGATAATCTACAAATAGAAAAGCAAGAAGTCAAAGTGTCCTTATTTGCAGATAAGTTCTATACAGGAGACCCTAGAGACTCCATCATGAAACTTTCAGATCATATAAACATTTTCAGTAAAGCACTAAGATACAAAATTATCATTTGGAATTCAGGAGCCTTCCTATATACCAGTACAAATGCTGAGAAAGAAGTCAGGAAAAACAACTCCAGTAAAAATTGCTTCAAAACCAAAAACTTTAAACTAATCCTAGCCAAGAAAGACCTCAACAACTTTAAAACATTAGAGAAAGAAATTTTAAAAGACACTAGAAGATAGAAATGCCCATATTCATGGATTAGAATTAATATTGTGAGAATGGCTATATTAACATAAAAATCTTCAAATTTAATACATTCCCCACCAAAATTCCAGTATCATTCTCACAAATAGAAAAAAATCTTAAAATGTACACTGAGACACAAAGACACACAGATAGCTAAAGAAATCCTGACACAAAGAATTCTGGAGTGTGCCTGATTTCAGTTATACGGTAGGACCAGAGTAACAGAAACAACAGGGTACTAGAACCTAACATGCAAATCGGGCAAGTGGGGTAGGAGATGCAGCTAGAAGTCCACACAGGTACAGCCATCTGCTTTTTCACAAAGATGCCAAAAACACACAGTGGAGAAAAGATAGCATCTTCAACAAACAGTGCTGGGAAAACTGGCTTGTCCACATGTGGAAAAAAGAAACTAGATCCTTATCTCTCACTCTGTGCAGAAATCCACTCCAAATGATCCAAACCCCTCATGTGAGTCATGAAGCTGTTAGAAGAAAAAATATAGAAAAAAAAAACAAAAAAAAAAAACAAAAAAAACCAAGATACAGGCTTGGGCAAGGCCTTTCTGAATAGACCCCAGTCTCCCAGAAAATAATGTCAGCACTGACAGAACCTCATGAAATGACAAAACTTCTATACAGCAAAGGAAACAGTTGAGTGAACAGACAGCATAGAGAATGAGAGAAAATCATTGTTAGCAAAACAGAGGATTGATATCTAGAATGTGTGTGTGTGTGTGAGTGTGTGTGTGAGTGTGTGTGTGTGTGTGTGCACATATATATACTCAACACAAAATTATATACCACAATAAATAAGTGGACTAACCAAATCAACCATTTTCAAAAGATTATGTGCAAATGACCAGTAAACATATGAAAAAAGTTCAACCTCACTAGCCACCCGAGAAATACAAATTAAAATTAAATTATGTCTTACTCCAGTCTGAATGACAGTCGTTAATAAATAAATAACATTCATGTAAAATAAAAATAAGCAGAGCCTTCCCCCATGCCCCCCCTTTTTTTAATAAGAAAAGGAAACAAATAACAACTGCAGGCTAGTATGTGGACAAAAGGGAATTCTTGTGTCCTGGTCATAGGAATGTTAAACCAGTCAGCCATTATGGAAGTCAGCAGGGTGGTTTCTCAAAAAGCTAAAATAGATGAAGCAGGTGACTTAGCTGTGTCACTCCAGGCTCACCCAGAGGACTCAAAGATTCAACTCATCAAGGAGTCACTTGCCCATCGATTTTTCCACCACGACTCACAGTAACTAAGTGATGCAACCCAACCAACCTAGGTATGACAACAACAGAAGACTGGGCAGAGAAATGTGGCGTGTCTACACAGTCGATTTTTTTTCAATCATAACGATATACATGTAACAAGAAACTAGAAGTAAAACTAGCCAGAGGAACAAAGGGTACGGGGCGGGCGGAGTGTGTGTGTGTGGGGAGGGTGCTCAAGAGAAAGGACAAGAAAGGACAGTCACAATGTGCTGCAGATGCCTGTATGAAAATGTCCCTATGGAACAGTGCACCATTTATAAGGAATAGAAGCGCTGGATGTCTTTGCCAAGGTTAAACGTGTACCTGCAGCAGATTAGCTGGTCAGTAAACACTGACTAAACTGATAAAATGCAAAGCAGAGACCCAACCACAGGACAGGCCCACCCATGTGTTCCCGAGGGCTCTGAAAGTGTTTGAGGAAGGCTACCCAAGTGCTTTTCGAGTCAAATTACTTGAGCAAAGGGCAGCCTCTCCTTCAGTTAAAGAGCCGGAGGCGGAGCTTAATGAGGAAGTGGCTTCCTCCCTTAAGCCTCTTCAGTCTTGTTCCCAAACCTCAGGATCCTTAGCCATCCAGTTTCCAGACTCAGAGCTGGGTGGTGAGAAGTCCAGGCCAGCAGGAGGTTTCCTCTCAGTTGCTTGTCCTGAGACGCTGGTGTACAAGTAGCTACCTGACACCTGACGCAAAGCCAGAGGAAGCCGGCTGACAGCCTGCAAGACCAGGTAACAGCAGCAGGGGACATCAGTCTTGTCTCTACTCCCTCTGGAGCTCGCGGCCAGGTTGCACTGGTCAAAAGAGGCCATCTAACTCGGGAACTATGGGCACCTGTAACAAACGTTCTTATCACGTGAGCCTTGGAATGCAGACGCCGAGAAACTAGTTCATTGGGGTTTCCAGAAAAGAGCGAGAGGTTATGAAAGTTCTTACCCTTTCTCTTTCTCTCATCTCTTGTTTTTTTTTTTTTTTTTTTTGTTGTTGTTGGTTTTTGTTTTGTTTTGTTTTTTGAGGGTCTCAGGCTGCCCTGGAATTTGCTATGTACACCAGGCTGGCCTCAAACTCAGAGATCTGCCTGCCTCTGCCTCCACAGTGCTGGGATTAAAGGTGTGCCACCACACCTGGCAGAAGGGGTCTCTTTTAATTTCTCTTCCTGCAGAGGGGTTGGATGGCTGACTTTTTAATTGCACTCTTCTCTCTCCATGTAAATATAACAAGGTGTGTAATGGCGTGATAGCTGCTTAGAGCCCGAAGAGATGATGAACCCACCTTGGAGCAGGGTTTGGGGGTACAGGATGGGACCCCCTGTGACTGAACCTGGAGTTCATGATCTCTCTGCAAGAACTAGTTCAACCTAGTCCTAGCAGACTCCCCATGGAAAGCTCTTTTCCCTGAGTTCTCTGCTCCATTTCCCAGTCAGGGCCTGTACCTGTATGATAAGTAAGCCCAAGGCTTTGTCTCTGTGAAATTAAAACATTTCATCTCGTTCTTCATCTCCCCTTCGGAATTGAAAACTGCGTCTTATCCTTGGAGATGACAGAGAGGACAGAAAGAGCAGAGATACACAGAGGTCTGGGGGAGGCAGGGAGGAGACAAAGGCCACCTGTCAAAAGGGACCCAGGATGCTGGAGGTGCAGCTCAAGGAGACCAGGCGCCGTGGAGCTTGCAGCTGAGTCTAGCGACCTCCCTGAGGAGTGTGTTAGGACGGGGTTACACTCAGGCCTGTGGGTTCTCCCCGTTCTCACCCCCAAGGCAAGCAGAGGTGAAGCAAACCAAGGGAGGTTCCAGATGCAGCTGAGCCAGGACACCAGGCTGTGGAGGCCCCTGGGAACAGTGACATTTCCCTGCTACTTCCTCCCAGCCCTCACCCACCTGCCTCAGGAAGGGAAGTGAAATGTCGCTTTCACTTTCACAGACTGGAAAACTTCTCAGTGTGGCTGCCACTCAGCAGGGTCTGGGTGGCATCTGCAACCTGGTCCTCCCAGGAGGACCCTGACATACCAAGCCACTGTCTCTCACATGCTGCTCTTGGGGACTCTCTCGGGAAGGGAAAAGAGACCAGTGCTGCTGCATACGCCTTTGATCATGTGACCCTGACCAGGAAAAAGCTGTCTCTGTGGGGTGAGAGACAGGGTGTGTCCCTGAATCCCTGAATTAACATAAGGCCTCTGACATAGCCCTTGGGATTTCCATGTACACAAGATTTACCGTTTTCGTTTCTACTGTCCAGAAGTTGGAGTGCCTTCTATTAAGTAGAAAGGCCACTAGGGATCACTTAGAACTGATAGCATCAAACATGACAAGTTCTCTTACTGCCAGAAAGTAAGACCTAGCTTTCAGCTTTGTGGTAGCGCTCCCTTAATTAAGGTTCAGTGTGAAGAAAACCCTACACCATTTCAAACCTTAAAAAAAAAAAAACCTTCATTTTGTCTATTTGAGAATTTCACACATTTACACAGTGTATTTTGATCATATATACACACTCTCAAAATCTTACATGCCCCCCCCCCCATTCCCCTGCAGCCCAGGTTGGCCTCAAACTGCCTGACCTGTCTCCTTATGCTCTCTTTACATGCATTCCAAGCTCCCACCACAGAACCCTGTCTTCCTTCTGTCCGGCCGCATCCACAGCATCCTGACCACTCTCTTTCTTCTTCTTAACTTCTCTGTAGTTGACTTAAGTCTCCCAGGTCAGTCTAACCAGCTAGATACAAGTCTTGCCTTATGCAAAGTGAAAGGACATCAGGTCCCCCTCAGCTCGGTGGTTTCCCTCATGTCTGACTGGCCTCCTGACTCAGCCATTTAAGAGCCTGTTTCTCAAAGAAGTTGATCCTTCCTCTCCCAAACAGCACATGTTTGCAGTTTGAGTGCCTCCACCTAGTCCGTGAGGCAGTGAGGCGTTTGGGTTGTTAGAGTCCATGAAAATCTCTCATGGAGACTCAGGGCTCCCTGATCATCTTCAGATGAAAAGCTTATGGGACAAGAGTGTCCTGAGCTGTCCAGTCTGTTTCTAGTTTTGGATGGGATCTCTCAGTGAGAGCGAACGGGTCTTGAAAGAGATCCACCTGCTTCCGCCAGTCTGCCCCTGCCTCGTGTTGGGATTAACCCCACTACACCTAAGGCAAACAGCCCAGTTTAAAAGGAAGCTTCCGAAGCCCTCCCCTGAGAGATGTGGGCTCAGTCTCTCCTGAGTCACAATCTTGCCCACTGTGACTGAAGACCCTACTGGGGCCATACTTCCTGACTGCCTCAGTTTCAATACCAACGTTTTAGCCATTAGGTCTCAGGGCTTCTCAGCAGCATCTTTCATCAATGGTGTTGTCAGATTTAGCAAATAGGAGACATCCAGTTGCATTTGAACTTCAAATAAGCAAGTTGTATTTTAGTTCAATTTGCAATAGTTACAGTAACGTTTATTCCTAATTTCTCAAACAAATTGCCTAAATTCATATTCCACCAGAAGATGTCTTGTGTCTTATCTGTCAGTCTTATCATTCACTCACTCATTCATTCATCCTTCCATCTGCTCATCCATCTATCCATCCATCCACTTATTCACTCAATCCACTCATCCATTCATTCATTGACTCTTCAATTTGTTGAGCACCTGCAAGCTGCCGGGCACTATTCTGGGTGCTGGGAACGTTAAGTAAAGCCCCACTTTCCTATCTGTATCCGTTACCCTCTTGTCACTGGAACAAAATGCTTGACAGGAGCAACTTAAGGGAGGGAGGGGTTATTTGGGCTCACACTTAGGGAAGGGCTGACAGGGAGAGTGGCTGTAGCTGTGGTGCCAGGAGCTTCCAGTGCTTGGGTCACACTGCGTTTCTTGTCAGGAAGCAGAGAGAGATAATGCCAGTGTCAGCTCACTCTCTTCCCTTTCCGTTCAGTCCAGGCCCCCAAGCCATGGGATAGTGCCACCCACATTCAGAAGGGGTCTCCCTCCTCAGCTAAACCTCTCTAAAAAGGCCCTCACACACATACCCAGAAATGTGCCCCCAAGGTGATTCTAAGTCCAGCCAGGTGACAATGGAGATTAGCTGTCATATCCTTGCACGGTAAATACTCTTATCATATTTGCATACACAGCACAAACACGTATACAACTCAAAGTCATGTAAAGCACGCTCATATTCAGACCAACCTCACCATCTTGAATCATCTACATCTTTATAAATGTGTTTGAATTCAGATCTAAAGGAGGACCACTCATTGCATCCGAGGGATGTGTTGGTGTCTTTTTGTCTGTAACGGTCTCCTTACCTTGGTGTGTGTTTGCGTGTGTGCATGAGCTCCACATAGCTGTTAAGAAATATGGCCCATTGCCTAATTCTTTCTTTTTGAAACAGTCTTTCTATGTAGGCCTGCTTGGGATTCTACTGCCTGGTCCTCTTGAGTAGGTGGGATTATAGGCTTACGACACAAATACATCTGCATGTATCTTGTAGCATTGACCACATTCTGAATTTAGATCATTGCTTCCTCGTGACCATTAGGCTTCCGCCTCCTATACCCCCTTGATCAGATTAAAATCTGATTATTTCTTTTGTGTATGATTATGAGCCTGTATATGTATATGTGCACCACATAGAAACAGGAGCCTGTGGGGACCAGTAGGGGGCATCAGAGTCCCCTGGAACTAGAATTGCACATGCTTGGGAACCACCATGTGAGTGCTAGAAACTGAACCCAGCTCCTCTGCAAGAGCAGTAAGTGCTTTCACGAGCTGAGCCATGTCTCTAAGATCTTATTCTTTTCATCACATCACAGTTGTTAGGTTTTTGTTTTTGTTTTTTTATCACAAATAATGGCACAGAATGCTCATCTCAGCTTTGGTGGATGGGCATTTGTCATTGAGTTCAGGAGCTAGTGACATGATTGAGGTTTTAAGTCATACTCTGGGGGCAGGGGTGGAATGCGTTTGACAGTGAAACACAAGTATGGGGGTAACAGGACAACTTTGGAGGTTCTCCTCTTCCATCGTCTCCCGAGGCAGGATAGTTTCTGCCATGCTGCCTATTCTAGGCCATTTGACCCATGAGCCATTGTACTGGCTCTTTTTTTTTTTTTTTTTTTTTAATGTCAACTTGACACAAGCTAGAGTCATCAGAGAGGAGGCAGCCTCAGCTAAGAGAATGCCTCCATAAGATCAGCTGTAGGCGAGCCGTAGGGTATTTTCTTAATAGTGATTGATGGGGAGACGAGAGGATCTCCTTGTGGGTCTCTGTGAGACTTGATGGTGTTCCAAAGGGAACAGAGCAGCTAAGGTGGTAAGGGGCCTGGAGAGGGGATGAGAAACTGGCTGGGTGAGTGGGGGGAGCTAGCAACCCGTGAGAAGACCTGTGTGGGAAAGACGGGATAGATGGGCTTTATAGGTAGAGAAGGGACAGCAACGAAAAAGCAGCAAGAACCGTGTTCTCCAGACAACCACGTGGCTCCTGGCAGAGCCCTAGACCTCAGCATAGTGAGTGTGCAATTGGAGCAGTTGAGGAAAGACGCCGTGCCAAAGCATAGACTTGCTCCAGAATGTGAAGAAACAGAGAGAGAGAGAGCAAGGATGCTGGTTCGGACCCCTGTGTGCTGTGCTCCCCGAGAGCCTGGTCACACCCAGTTACCAGAGGCTGCTTGTGGACAAGGGAGGAGCTGTATAAACATGGCTGTTTAGCAGGTGCTGGGCTTTACAAGGCTGCCCACAGCTGCCCTGGGAAAGCTTCTTCTGCTCCTCAATTTTCACTAGACTTTTGGTCACTGCCTTCCACCTGAACTTGCCTATCTAGGCCCTGGGACTGCCTGGCCTGAAGCTGCTCCTCAGAGGGGCCAGCTGGTGCCTCTTCCAAATAAAGCAAGGGTACCACCTCATCAGGGAGCATGCACCTGTTGAGGTACCAGAGCCCTGTCCCTCCTTCAAATATCAAAGCCAAGGTAAAGGAATTAGAGAGCATTTTCAGTCTAGACAAGAAAAGGTTTGCTTGCTTACTGTTTTCTCACAGTGCTGAGAATGCCTGGCCTTGCGCATGCTAGGTGAGCATCCTTGAAACTCGATTCTCAGTCTGTATGGAAAACAAGGACCAAAGAGACTGAGTTGCTCACTGATGTGAGTTTGAAGCTATCAGACCATGACCATGAGTCCCACAACTGAGTCCAATCTGTCTGTATCACATCCTGCCTCCTCAATCCCTGTCTGCACGTACTAACCCATTCCTTTCTAGGTTGGTCCTGGTATGACCAGGTATGGTGGAAAGAAATGGAGGGATGTGCTAGTGGATTCCATTATATCACTATAGCTTGTTTATGGTTATAGTTTCATCTGCCAAGGCAAAAACCCAACAAGACCAGTGTGATAAGGAAACGTGGCTAAGAGCCCTACCAAGGACAGAGGAGGGGAAAGTTACACAGTTCTGCACCACACAATAATGTCTTGGTCAACAATGCCTAATACAAGATATAAGAATCGTCCTATGCACCAGGTGGTGGTGGCGAATGCCTTTAATCCTAGCACTTGGGAGGCAGGGGCAGGTGGATCTCAGTGAGTTGGAGGCCAGCCTGGTCTCCAAAGCAAGTTCCAGGACAGCCAGGACTGTTACACAGAGAAACCATGACATAAAAAAACAAACAAAAACAACAACAAAAAAGGAATTGTTCCTTGAAATATCACCAAGTGACGTGATAACCCTCTTAGCTTGTATTGGTATGCACTGTGGACATAACGTTTCCCGATGATGTTTTCAAAACATGAAGGCACCAAAGTCTGGCCACAGTTTTTCCCTGAATGATTCATACTTTAGTGAGTTCGGTGCCAGCCTGGGCTACCTGGTACAAGCCCTGGCTGTCAGACGATTCTGCTGTACCATTGTGAACAACCTTCACTCATGTACCCATGAGTCTATTCTCTGCCCGTGCAGTTTTAAAGAGGAATGTACATCCCCTGTCCAGCTCTTCTTTCAGTTGCCCTCTCTTGCTCCTCCATTTGAAGTTGGCTTGTCCCTGCCTCCGCATACCCAGCTGACTTCGCCACCATCAGAGCTCTTACTCTATTGCTACCTGAAGTTGTCTATGCATTTGTCTCTTCAGAACCAAGGGATGCTTTTTTTTTTTTCCCCAGTTCTTTCCCATGCTTTCTCTGAGCCTGCAAAGTAAATGCTCCCACGTGTAGAAAGAATAGCATGTACCGTTTGTCGTTCCAGACTCAACATGTGCAGCCACAGTGTGTGTGACCTGGAAGACATCCCCCTGGAAGATGATGACCCAAATAGCATAGAGTTCAAAATCCTGGTCTTCTACGCCAGACACCATGTCTTCAAGAGCCCCCCAGCTATTTTCTCACCCAAGCTCTCCAGAACAAGAAGTTTGTCCCAGAAAGCACTGGGGACTTGGTCAACTGATTCATGGACACAGGTGTCATTGCCTTGCAGAAGCTCCCCGTCCAGTGAAAAGCACATAAGCCTTGGCAAGAAGAAGTCTTCTTGGAGAACATTCTTCAGAGCAACGGAGGAGGAAGGCCCACCGAGCTCCCCAAAGGAGGTCCGAGCTCAGGGCATTCAGGGTCCCTTCGCAGTAGAGAGGCAGGGTCTAAAGCTTCAGGGTGGCTTCCATAACCAGCACTGGGCCAGGTCTCTCTCCAATGTGGAGCAGCGCCTGGAGTGTGAAGGTAGGCTTCTGGAGAATCCCATTCACACCTGTAGTGAGATGTTTTTTCTCTTTGGGGGCCCACTACCCAGCCCCCAAATGAATCAAACACAGAGGCTTATTCTTTCTTATGAATGCCCGGCCTTAGCTTGGCTTGTTTCTAACCATCTTTTCTTAACTTAAATTGTCCCATCTACCTTTTGCGTCCGGGCTTTTCCTGTTCTCTTACTTATGGGAATCTTATTCTTACTCCATGGCCCCTGGGTTCTCCTTCTACAGTTATCCTCTCTGCCTGCCAGCCCCGCCTGTCCTTGCTCCTGCCTGACTATTGGATGTTCAGCTCTTTATTAGACCATCAGGCATTTTGGACAGGCACAGTAACGGCTTCACAGAGTTAAACAAATGCAGCATAAACAGAAGGCACACGCCTTAAAATAAAGTTCTGCCACGTTTCCCTCTTTTTGTCTAAATAAAAAGAAAGGTTTCTAACTTTAACATAGTAAAACTATATACAACAAAAACAGTTATCAAGTAAGAATTCATTTACAATATTCTGTCCATTTGTAGTTAGCATACTCAGAAGAAATAATGCATTATCTATCCTATCTTAGTGAGTCCAAAGTTTTATACCTAACTTACTTTTCTATCACATCTAAAGAAAACTGCAACTATAACTACCTAGTCTTCAACTCCATCAAAAGCACCAGAAGGATGTAATATTATTTAAAGAAACAAAAGGTGCATTGCAAATAACTTCCAAAACCTCTAGCAATGGCAGAGACATCTGACTGCCTGGACAGTCACCCAAAGTTCCTCTGCAACGTCGGGGCATCCTTCTTCAGCCCACAGGCTCATAGTATCTGGCAGACTTTTCAGTGAAGCAAGAAATCTGCGAGACTGCCCTGCCTATACTGAAAGTTTGTCGGTCACTTTGCTCTGTGTCCTGCAGAATGTCTGGCAGTTTCTTCTGTGAAGCAGGGACCCTGAAAGACCATCTTGCCTTGCTTTGGCCAAGGTCAGTGGTCACTTTCCTGTGTGTCTCACACATCCAGTCTGCATAGCACGTTGTCAGGAGTCAAAAGCAAGAGCAGTTTTTGTTTTTTGGGCTCCCCCCCCCCATGGCTAACTTTTCCACAATGAAAGCAAACTCCACACGGAGGTTCTTCAATGCCCATCATCTCTAAAGGTAATTGGTGCTGCCAGGCACAGATGTGTCTCATTGCCATGAAAAGCCCTAAGTTAACAAAACATTTAAAATGCCATATTCTGTTGGCCTTTGAAGGGTTTGAAGGCCACCTACCTATCCAAAATATATCTATATATGATTGGAAAAACATACCTAGCATAGCTACAAATTTGATTGTGATAGATGACTAACTACTAACATGTGTTTCTTGATTATTCTAAATAGTTCATAATAATAGCCTTCAATAACTAGAATTTTACCTTACATTTTTAAATGAACTGCACAGTACAGTACCTTAAACAGCAGAAACATGTATAACATGTTATAACAAAAATAACTTTAAATTGGTTTCAATATACAAAAATCTTCTAAACAAGAACAAAAATATATACAGTGTAACAAATTGACTTAATTTGTATCCATATACCAAAATCCATGCCAAGGCAAAATATCTGAGATTAATAGTGGTCTTTTTATCCTATATTCCCCTAAATTATTTAAAAAAAAATTCATGACCCACAAAATAATCAAAAACCTTCCACAGCCCAGCTCTTGGGAAAGCGGTTGTAGTTTTCTCTAAACTGTTTTCTTGCTGACTGTGGGAGGATGGGAGGGAGGGAGGGAGGAAAGGAGAGTTAAATAGATTTAAACAAATAGTTTTCAGTTGGGTGCAGTGTCTCATTCCTGCCATCATCAGGTTTCAGGAGGGAAAGAGTGGTCATTTCCGGGCCAGCCTGGGCCAGAAAGTTGGAGGTCAGCTTACAGAGAGACTGTCTTGAAAAATAAAATAAAATAAAATAAAAATACATTTCAAAATGTAAACCACCAGGCTGGAGAAATGACTCAGAGGTCAGAGCAGCACTGGCTGCTCTTCCAGAGGACCTGAGTTCAATTTCCCAGCAGCCACACGGTGGCTCACAGAAGTCTGTAACTATCGTCCCATAGAATCTGATGCCCTTTCCTGCGGTACAGATTTACAGGCTGACAAAACATCCATATACATAAAATATATGAATTAAATCTTTTTTAAAAGAAAGGTTTTCTAAAAAGAAAAATAAATGTGAACCACCTTTTTAAGAAATAAAGGGGCTGGAGAGATGGCTCAGCTGTTAAAAGCGCTGACTGCTCTGCCAGAGGACCCAGGTTCAATTCCCAGCACCCACATGGCAGCTCACAGCTATCTATAACTCCAGTTCCAAGGTATCTGACACACAGATACAATAAGCAAAACCCCAATGCACATAAAATAAAAATTAAATCTTTAAAACAAAAACTGATAAAGTCTTCCCTTGTTAGGAAAATCAATTGTATTGAACAAGTCACTGAGGACTCAGGGACCTCAGCAGCAGCACCCACTCTCACCTCAGCAGGGCCCCTTCCTGCCAGGTTTGATGGGCCTGTCCATAATTAGTCAACAGATGGCAGTAGCGGCTCAGTTTTGAAGTGTTGTGCCCCTGCGTGTGGAAGGTTCATTCCATCCTGTGACAAGGGAACTTATACTTCAGTTAAGCCCAGGGTCCAGAGGATGTGCAGAACCTGTCAGTTAAGGGGCAACAGAACTTTCTGGAAGGGTTATTGCTGAAGGAGACACAGCCTGGACCACAGAGACTACCTATCTCCCCAGCTTTATTTAACTCTCTGAGCAAACGGAAGCATCTACCCCCTAAACCCAAGCATGGCTGAGGCTGCAGCAGGCCCCAGCCTTCCCAACACAGGTGGCAGTTATCAGGGCTAGGAGCCTGGAGGCCCCAAGGGACCGGGCTCTGTGGGTCAATGTGGCTGCACAGGGAGACAGGAAGTGTCTATAGTCTTCATTCCCCATTCCCTGGAGTAAATGACACAACATTTGTTATCACTTGGCTCTCCCCCTAAATTTAAAAGGCTCATATCACCCTCCCCCCTCTTATGGGGAGATAAGTAAAGAAAAATAACTTTCAGGTGAGATTAAGAATAGAAGGTTCAGCTAAACAGAGAGTGGGTTTATTGGCCAAATTGTATCTGAGGCTGAATAACCATAGATTGCTATGTATATAACTAGAGAACATAGTTTTATGCACATCTAGATATCACATCTCCATTTTAAACAGGAAGAAAAGGGAAAGGCAGAGGTGGCTTTCTTTCTAGATTATTCGGCTCACTCTTTCTATACATGTGTGTGTCTGTTTACTTATCTGACGCAGGGCCTCACTGTGTAGCCTAGGCAGACCCACGGCCCATCATTAGGCCTCTCAGATGAATGGACAATTTCTCCAATCACAGTGTAATACAACTCAGCTGCTCCATTTGGCGCCAAACACAGAGCTGCCTCAAGTTCCCACAGCGGAGTGACAGGTTTACTACCTAGCAAGTCAGCTGGTACCGGCCCATCCCACCTGTCTCTCCTCAAGCAGACACAAAGCCAACTTATGTCTGACTGGCGGTAACAATAAGGGAGTCTGCCATGTAAACCTTCCTGCCCTGAGTGGGAACGCGTGCTACATCATTTCCAGGATTACGGCTTCATGAAGGACGAGTTGTACTTCATGCACTTGTTCTTCTGAGATGGAGTCTGACTTTGTAGCCTGGGACTCATGATCCTGCAGCCCTGGCATCCTAAGTGCTGAGATACAGATGTGACCTCCACATCTGGCCATGTCTATGCAACCTTGTTTACCTATAAGCATAAATGGAATGTTTTCTGTTAAATATAAAAGGGAAATTGTGGCTATAAGAGCAAAGAGTATCAAGCTATTGAACACTCTCTAGTGTTTTGGTAGAGGCCACCTCTCCAAGGTGTAAAGGGTGTCCCCAAATATAAATAAATGTAAAAGAATAAAAATAAAAGCACCATGAGCTTTCTGTCAAGCAATGCGCTGCCTCCCCTCCCTCTCTGGTGCTCTCTCCTTTGCAGTGGGGGGGGCACTGAGGGTGTGGAAGAACAGCTGTATACCGCCCCTTCATCCCAGCTTCTACTGGAGAGTTGTTAGTCCCGTCTAAAGAATGCCCCACCTCAAACACAAGCCCCTGGAAATGGTCCTCTCACGCCAGGCTGGCCTCTTCATCCTAGGCAACTGGGCAGTCCATGCAGCAGCCCCAGTACTGGAGGTACCCTCTAAGCAGTTCTTTCTTGTTTCAGCTGTGGACCCCAAAGTTGCCTCTATTGCTAACCGGGTGGCTGAAATCGTTTACTCCTGGCCACCACCAGAAGACAGCCACAGCCAGGGATGCAGCTTCAAGTCCAAAGAGAGTGTCCCAAAGCATCTGTACTTCGAAGGCCTTCAGTCTGTAACTTGTGATTCTAAGAAAGGTAAGCCTTGCTTTGTGAGTGTGTTGGGTTGAGCATGTGCCAGCTAGAAGTGTATGGACATGTACGTGTGTATGTGTGAATGTATGTATGCATGCCTGTATGCATGCATATATTATTCAGCTAAGGGCTCTGTACATTGGGAATCTCAGCCCACTTCACAGCAACATGGTAGAGGCCTTGGGCTCTAGCTTAAGACATCAGCCCACGACAGAGATGCTATGAGTAAGTTGAACCAACATGTCAGCTCACTGCTAAGTCAGAAGAAATGTCTCCTGTGGAGGGAGAGGAGAAATGTCAGATCTAATCATGTTATAATGGTCGTGCACATGGTCCACATGGACCATCCCAGGACTCGTGGCAAACACCCAGACTGTCAGACACCCAGTGTGTATTAGTTATTTTTCTTGCATTGTGGGAAAAAAAATGCCTACCAGGGAGAAACTATTTATTCTGGCTTACAATATCAGAGGGTGCCTTCCATTGTTGGTGGACTACATGCATTTAGGCAGAAGACTCTGGCACCAGGGTACAGCAGAGGGCAATTGTTCATTGTACAGTCAACCAGGAAGCTAAGAAAGCCAGTGAAGCCAGTCATAATACGCCCTCAGAGGCCGTCCTCAAGGCTGTCCTCATGTCCCTGTCATAATTCACCCTCAGAGGCCGTCCTCAAGGCTGTCCTCATGTCCCTGTCATAATTCACCCTCAGAGGCCGTCCTCAGTGTCCCACCTCCTCCTGTTAGACCCTGCTCCCTAAAATCACAACCTCTCCAATAGTACCAACAGGTGAGGACAGGCATTCAAGGCGTGCACCTGTGGGGACCACTCATATTTGATCCCGCAACACCAGGCCTGCTTCAGAAGGTGCTGACAGGCGAGAGAACCGGGGACCAGATTTGGTCAGTCACTGCCCACACAATAGCAGAGGCTGGCACGGTTACAGACTCTAGAAGCCGTGTGGAAATGCTGGGCTTTGCTTTCCGTCGTCATTGACCTTCCTCTCAGCTCTCTCCCCAGAATCAAGTAGATGTATAAGGATGGTGGCGAAGTGGCTCCTGAGTCTGTGGCATCGCAAAGGACAAAGCAAATGTCCTCCCCACAAAGGCATCCGGACAGGGCTTTCCCCACTGTCTGCTGCACATCTGAAACTAAAAACTGCCACGGGGCTCTGAGTGAGGAACCTTCCACGCATGCCAAAAAGAAAGAGCTGGGGCTCTGCGGCTGTCCCAAGTGTGCCTGGGAGGTGGAAAGTGATATCCCGAGACGAGCCAAAGCCAGGGCACCCCGCCCCTGCATGCGGAAGGGATCCAGGACTCCAGCACAGCATCTTTCCCAGAGAGAGGGAGGCAGGGCAAAGGTCCAGGGCTATAGAGATTTACGCCTGTTTTCTCTCAGGCATTGTGAGTCCCGTTATCATTCTGCTCCTCCTCCCCACACCTTCTTGGGCTTTGCTGCATTAATCCCCTGGCCTCCCGTGCCTCTAGCTGAGATAAACACATGGGTCCAGCGTTGCTTCAGAGACTGGGCTTGAGGTCAGAAACCCGATCCCCTCAGTAACATTTTTCTGTTTAGATTCTGTGCTGAAGTGATGACCATTTTCACAGTCATGTTTACCAAGTAGGAAGTTGTTGGGGGAAAAGAAGAAGAAGGAGGAGGAGGAGGAAGAAAGAAGAAGAAAGAAGAAAGAAGAAGAGGAAGAGGAAGAGGAAGAGGAAGAGAGGAGGAGGAGGAGAAGAAGAAAAAAAAAAAAAAGCCATCATAGTCCACGCCAAAGATAGCCACACTTTATCCAACTGCCTTTCATTTTGGGGAACTCAGGAATTTGTGCATTTCATTCTATGTGCCCCACCTTGTCGTGGAGGTAATTTTAAATACATGAAAATCAACAAAGTTTAGAAATGATGTAAAAAGAAAAAAAAAGAAAATACACACAAGCATATAAAAAGGGCTTAAGAATGAGACTGGTCCCCAAATGTAGGCCAGGAAAATGTCACTCCACATTATGTCTGTATATTTGGCTCCCTGCTTTATGACAAAGGTAGAAATATGACCAGATGTGGGATTTATGGGGCTGGAAAGTTGGCTCAGCTGGTGAAGTGTTGTCTGTGCTCAGAGCCTGAGCTCAGATGCCCAGGTCCCCGGTGAAGCTGTGCATAGTGGCATGCGCCTATGTGACCAGCACAGGGTGCTGGTGGCACAGAAAGGGGGGTTTCTGGGGTGTCTGGCCAGTCACAGCCAGCCCAGCTGAGCGCTAGTTTGGTAAGAGTGCCTGTCTGAAAAACTGATTGAGGAAGATGCCTACCATTGACCCTTGGTCTCCGCATGTATACGGGGACACACACACATACACACACACACACACACACACACACAGGAGATTTATATTTCACAAAAATACTATATTCTGATAACTAGCCTGAAAACAAGGAAAAGGCTGTATGGCTCAGGGGTGGGACATTTGCCTAGAAGACTTGAGGCTCTGGCTTTGATCCCCAGCAGGTGGATTAGGGTTAGGCTGCTTGTAGCTATTGCTTAGTGGCAAAATAAAAATAAGAGGGAAATGTCTCCTAAGAATTTCCATGGACAGGATTATGTGTAGTGGAACAGTTGTCTTCAATAATATTTGTACAGTAAATATGGTAAGTTTCTCGGTGAGAATACAAGAGAAAGGATGCACTGAGCAAGGAAAACAAGGGATAGGACCGGAGAAGTCTGGAAGGCTGAGATTTATCAACTAAGGATTTGAGTGCGTGCCTCTTGAGTGCATTGCCACTGGAAGGAAAGCTTCATTATTTTGTGCCTGTCTCCAAAGAAATAACTGGAATTTCCCTCTCTCCCCCCCCCCAACAGATGGTGAGGACCAAATAATTAGCAGAATTGTTGAGCTGCTGAAATACTCAGGGGATCATCTGGGAAGAGAGGTATGCAACCCCCCCCCCCCCCGAGCTAGTGTGATTCCCGTCTGCGCCCACGCACTAGGGCAGGACGATGGAATTGTGCACCAGGCTCTGGCCCTCGTCCTCTCCAGAGTCCTGCCTTCCACGTAGTGCGACATTTCATTTCCCTTGGAGTCTGCATCTTCACAGGGGCAGCTTTGCAAAAATGAATCATTTTGGGAAACACAAGTAGATCTTCTGGAACCTCCTTGGAATTTCCGGAAACTAGAAATGCAACTGTGTTTGCTGTAAGAAAAGACACTGGAGGGGGGGGGGGAGAATGGAAATTTGCTGCATAGGCTTATCAACCTCCTTCTCATGTAACTCAGCCTCGGGGGAGCCTAGATGGTTGCAGTTGCCCAGCAGCCTGGATTTGGGTCTCAAAGCTGCCTCAAGGGTCCTCTCTGAAATCCCCCATACTGTTGCTGGACTTGGCCTGGTTAAAGAATGTCTTAGCAGTTCACCCAGAGAGGCAGGCTAGTGCAACTTAGGGAACCCGTAAGTGGAGAAGTAGAGACCCACCCTACTCATTAGAAAGCGAGACAGCTGTCCTCGGGTGACACCGAAGAATGAGCCTATAGTGCCACCAGGAGGCGTTTTCCTTTGTGCCCACAGACTATCAGCTATCTCCGGGGTCTGTCAACCGGGACCTGACTTAGTGAGCCTTGTTTTGCAGTCAAGACCTGTTGGGAGGAAGTCAGGTCCAGGGACAAAGAGTGCTGGCTTCTGCAGGAGGAAAGAGCAGAAGAAAATGGCAGTCCCGGCATGACCACAGCTCCTCTCCAGTGGCCTTGCCAGACACGTGCCCATAAGGTGGTGACAAGACGGGATGAAAGGGCTATGGAAGGCGTAGAGCAGAAGCCAGGGACACTGGGCTAAAGAGAAGAGTGTCTCTCGTGTGAGCCAGAGTGGGCCTGCGAGGAAACAGGATGCTTGTAACAGACAGAACTCAAACAGCAGTCCACAGAGATCCGGGTTCAAAGACCAGGTGGGAGGTGACATCAGTTGGGTAGAATAATAAGAAAGGAATCTGTGGCCTTTTTTTAAAAAAAAACATTTATTTATTTATTTCCTACGGAAATGGAATGGGATGTACCTGTTCACGTGCCATGGAATGCACATAGAGGTCAAAGGACGGGGTCAAAGGACGGGCAGGAGCCTGTGATCTCCTTCCACCAAGGGTCCTGGGGGGGGGGAGGTCAAACTTAGACTTAGCAACAAGTACTGAGACTGAGCCATCTCACCACCCCCCTCTCTGTCTCTCTCTCACACTTAGTTTTAGTAAACAAACACATATGGGGAATCTTCCCTGGCTGCACTGTGCCCCTCCCCCCAGAACGCCTCCTTCATGTCCAATACTGTACTGCCACTACGGTAGTTTAGAGATAAGTCAACACATATGAAAAGGGAACACTGTCCCCAAGACCGTGCTGCTGGTAAGGGTGAGGCGGAGTGCACACCCCAAGGCCTCACTAAGGTCCAGGTCTCATCCAATACCCTGCCTCTTGAAAGCACTGTGAGCCATTCCCACTAGACTGTGGGCCCATGGGTAAGTCTGAGTCACCTGTGACCCCTTTCTATCCTTGGTGTTTGGGAAGTGCCTGAGTGTTGAATAACCCTTTCAGTTTTGTTCTTATTTGTGTGAAAGGAATCCATACAGCAGGTACCTAGCTCCTCTTGACTCCGTTGGATGCCATGCCATGACTGACATTGCAATCCAGGGTCTTTTTAGTGCAAGTGTGGCCTTCCCCAGGCCTCCTAATTGCTTCTCCTTTCATCCCCAGATGAAGAAAGACAAGGCTTTGATGAGCAGCTTCCAGGACGGGCTGTCCTACTCAGTGTTCAAGACCATCACAGACCTGTTCCTGAGGGATGTAGACACCAGAGGAGAATCAGAAGTCAAAGCTCGGGGCTTTAAGGCCGCCCTTGCAATAGACGCCATAGCCAAGCTCACGGCCATCGACAACCACCCAATGAATAGGATGCTGGGCTTTGGAACCAAGTATCTAAAAGAGTACTTCTCCCCCTGGGTCCAACAGAATGGTGGATGGGTAAGTGTAACCCAAATGGGTCCTCACCACAGGGCACTGTGCCATGTCTTGCCCTTAGGAGGCCCAGGCAACGAGAGTGAGTTTGGGAGAAGCTTGCACTACATAGTGAGACCTTAACACACACACACACACACACACACACACACACACACACACCCCACCGGCATGAATACATGTGTGCATGGACACACATATACACCACACTCAGACACACACAGCACATGCACACACACATACCAAACACACACACACACACACCTTCTCTACTTTAAAAAAGGATGAATGATAAGATTTTTTTTTTACGACAAAGGGAACACATCTGGGAATCAGTTCTCATGGGGTTAGGACACTCAAGTGGCAAGAGACAAGACCCATCAATTGGAACATATTTTTAGCAACGATCTTCCTCATCCACAAATAGTTACTGAGCTCCCAGAGGGTATGTTGGGTGAGGGGGCAAAGTGTCAGGGGAAGCAGGAAACGAGGAGCTGGTGAGACAATGTTTCAGTGGATGCCAGGTCTTTTCCCACAAATTCTGCAGCAATAGACTGCAGCTAGTCAGATGAGGGCAGAGGACACTTGCTCTCGCTCCTGGGTACCAACACGATGTAGGGCTGACCTTCACACAGGGACTCAGGCTCACAGCATTCTGCCACTGCTGCTTAGACCTCAACAGGAACATTGTGACACAGACTGAAAAACAAGCAATGGAACTTGCATCTATTTTCGATGAGCTGACTTAATCACATCAGCTTCCTTCTCCCCTGTACCCTGCCTTTCCTCCACCTTAATCTCTATTCTCTGAGACCTGTCCCCCTTCCCCCAAATTGTTCAAGACTGACTTCAGGCCAACTTTGAACTCTCATTTCCGACTGGTCAAGATTAGTCTTAGGAGGATGGGTTCTTTCCACAAGAATGTTTCAAGGCCAGCAGGACACTTGAGTCAACTTTAGGTATGGCCAGACTTTAGGTATGGCTGGCGTGTCCCGAGTCTTTCTCATAGGCTGGCCTCCTGGGTCTCACAAAGAAGTGTGACATACATTCCCCTCAGAGCTGAAAAGGCCGCCATTGTCCTCAGTGGTCTCCCTGAAGCACCCCTCGGCTCCCTCCCATGGCCCACATTTGCAGCAAGTGTGAGAACTGGGAAGCCTGCTAACCACCCCCAAATTCAAGCCTGACCAATTCTGAAGATGAGCTCTCACAGCAGTATTCCAGGTTCCCTTTCTTCCTCTCCTGTCCCTCTGCTGCCCTCCTTTCCTGACCTCTGGGAGGGGGTTGGGGACGAGAAGAGGAATGACCAGGGATGCAGCTCCGTACAGTGTGTGTTTGGCACATATTAGACCCTGCATTCAGTCCCCAGTATGGGGCAGGGTGGTGGGGGGAGAGGAATGGGAGAAATAAGGTAATGAATGGAGAGGAAAATAAGAGGTTGGAAGAAAGGGGAAAGAGAAAGGGAGAGAGGAAGGAAGGAGCAAAATAAACAAACATAGAGAACATAAGTTATGGAGAGAGGGAGGTACACGGAATGGGGGAAATGATTTGCATCCGGAAGATGTAATGAATGAACTCTTACAATTAATTTCACAATGAAAAAGGTGAGTGATTTAACTTTTTTAAATGGGCAATAGATTTATACATTGATTCTCCCAGGAGGCTATATAAATAGTCAATAAGCAAAAGAAAAGGCTTGGCATGCTCATTTCAATATTGGGAAGATATGTCAAAAAGCTGAGGAGCTCCTCCCGCCTAGGAGAAAGGCTATCTGGGAGACTGGGAATCAGAACCCTCCTCCGTACATTGCTGGTTGGGTTCCAGAACCATGCAGCCTCTTGAAGAACAATCTGGCAGTTCTCACAAATGTTAGCAAAATGTTAAGTAGAGTCATCAGGAGTTGGGTGTGTAGCCCAGTGGTAGAGTGTATACTCAGCGGTGAAGGCAATGGGTTCGATCCCCAGCACCAATAAATAATAAATAAATAGTAATAAAATAGAGCTACCATCTCTACCCCTTGAAAACTGAAAAGATTTTCAACCCAAACATGTACATGAATGTTCATGGCTGAATTCATTATTCATGGTAGCCATGAAGTAGAAGCAACTGCAGTATCCATCAGCTAATGAACTAGCAAAATGAAGCATTTTATGATGGGACCATAAAATGAAAACAATCACTGACACACGAATGAACCATAGAAAACATTATGCTGGGCTGGAGAGATGGCTCAGTGGTTAAGAACAGTTGCTACCCTTTCAGAGGATCCAAGTTCGATTCCCAGCACCCATGACTGCCTATAACTCCAGATATCAGGGTTCCAATGCCCTCTTCTGGCCTGTGTGGGCATTCACACATATGTGTCCACACTCACAGACACACATGTGTATATGTAATAGAAAAAAAAAATAAAAGTAAAATTGAAAAAAAGCATTATGGGAAGAAGCCAGACAAGAATGCCACTTGTTAATATGGTTCTATTCATAGATAATGTCATAGAAACAGAAAGGACCAGGGGCTCAGCACTAGTAGACTCAGACTTTCCTTTTGGAGTGATAAAAGGTTCTAGGGCCAGGGGTAACGGTGTACGGCTCTGAATACTAAATGCCACTAAGCTATGTACTTTAATGGGAAGAACCCTCTGGTAAAATTACATTCCAGAAATTATTAATTATAAATTATATTCCAGTAATAAACTCTAAATCCAGCAATCGGATAAAAAGAAGGAAAAGCAAATGCAAACATTTGAACTATTTAGCTTGGTCGCACTGGATAGAGAGAGAAGCAGATTCAGTCAGAGGTAGTAGATGAATGAGTCCTTCAGGAGGAATTTGGAGAGGACTTTTCAGAGATTAGGACTGCTGAAGTGTGTGTGTGTGTGTGTGCGCGCGCGCGCACACACACACACTCGTGCGGTTGGGGGGAGGGGTGTGTGTGCGGTTGGGGGGAGGGGTGTGTATGGGGTTGGGGAGAGGGGTGTGTATGGGGTTGGGGAGAGGGGTGTGTATGGGGTTGGGGGGAGGGGTGTGTATAGGGTTGGGGGGAAGGGTGTGTGTGCGGTTGGGGGGAGGGGTATGTGTGCAGTTGGGGGGAGGGGTGTGTGTGCGGTTGGGGGGGAAGGGGTGTGTGTGCGGTTGGGGGGGAAGGGGTGTGTGTGCGGTTGGGGGGGGAAGGGGTGTGTGTGCGGTTGGGGGGAGGGGTGTGTATGGGGTTGGGGGGGAGGGGTGTGTGTGCGGTTGGGGGGAGGGGTGTGTGTGCAGTTGGGGGGAGGGGTGTGTGTGCGGTTGGGGGGGAAGGGGTGTGTGTGCATTGTGTCCCTATGGATCCCATCCAGGACCTCATGTGCTAATGAAAGCAAGATACAGGCTCAGGTGTACCTCCTGGTATCTGGTTTTTGTTTGTTTTTAAATTTCTCCCTTTCTTATTTATTTATATATACTTTTGCTTTTGTTTTTGAGTCAGAGTCTCTTGTAGCTCAGGCTGTCCTTGGCTTCCTGAACGACCTGCCTCAAGCTCCTAAATGCTGGGATTTAGGTACTTCCTTCCTTATTTCCTCCTGTACTGGGGATCAGACCCAAAGGGTTCGTGCATGCTAGAAAAGCCGTGTGCCCTCCTGCGACACCCACAGCCACAGCCTCTGTACTTTGCCATCCAAATGTGGCTACCGAGGTTATGATAACCCTCAATCATAACTCTTGGCCTTTGTTAGGTTTAATTTGGAGAAGGCAATGGCTTGAGAGAACCAACCGACTTTGCCAAAAGTGCCAGGAAAGTATTGAAAAGCTAAGAGATATTGGTAAAGGGATATTTATGAACAACCATGAATTGATACCATCCGGGGAAGCGTGAGCTGGACGTGGCGATTTACACATAATCCTAGCTTTCAGGAGGCTGAGACAGGGTGACAGCTGTGAGATCGAGGCTAGATGAGGCCATAGAGCAAGACCCTGTCTCAGAACGAGAGAAGGAAAAGAAAGGAAGAGCGAGGAGGAAGGAGTAGGGAAGGAAGGAAAATCCCCGAGGGAAGGGGGACAAGGAGAGGGGGAAGGAAGTGGGGTGGGAGGAAGGAAGTTCTGTGCGCCTGTCTCCATACTGCAGGTTTTCTAGGCTTCCCGCTAACCATTCCGACTCAAAGCCACAGTTTGCCTGGGGCGGTATGTGCGTGTCTCTTGTCTTTCTCACAGCTGCTGTTACTTAACACACATCAAGGATGCTTTGTTCAGTGGTAACTTCATCAGATCCATCCCAAACCCTGCTGTATTAATTACTTTTCTCGGTGCTGAGGGTGGTTGGGTTATTTTACCTCACAGTTTGAAGGGGCAGATAGTCATGGAGGGGAAGGCAGTTCCATGGTGGTGGGAGTCTGGGACCCCTCATCTCACATCTTGGGCGAACAGGAAGCAGAGAGCAAGCAGGAAGTGGTGCCAGGCTACAGAAAAAACCGTCAAGGTCTACCCTCAGGGGCCCACTTCCTCCAGCAATGCTCCACCCTGTCAAGGTTCCACAATACAACCTTCCGAAACAGGGCCACCAGCCGGGGCTATGTGTTCAACACAAGAGTGTAGGAGAGACCCTTCATACTCAAAGCGCGACACAAACTAAACAGGCTTCCTCCTTGCTGGGTGAGGAGTCACGAAGCCTCCATCGGCGTCAACCCCCGCTTCTTTTTTGGAATCTTAGAAGGGGTCTCAAGGCCTTAGCATGTTGCATAGGTCATTCTCTAGCCCTGCATGTGTAACGGAAGGCCTTAGCTCTTAGTTTCCCTGCAGGCACCCCAAGGATGCCAAGCCAGCCATCCACACCTTCCCCAGCTCCAGCCCAGCCTCATCCTGTGTCGTCACTTCAGCCGTGAATCAAACTTTGAATGTTAAGGGCTTTCTTTCCTTTCCTCCTCTAGGAAAAAATACTAGGGATATCACATGAAGAAGTAGACTGAAATATCCAAAGGCCTGTCCTCTGGAATGTTCCATGTCCAACGGTAGTCCTGTGCCCACTGCTCTCAGCATAGACTTCAGGAGGAAATTCAAATGCATGCAGCAGATGGAGCCCACATTTTCTAGAACCATCCTTCCTTTGACTCAAGAGGCGTGGGGAGAGGCCTTGCTCTTCCAGCTCTTAGGATTCAGTAGCATGCCCTTTGCATTGAGGTTATTTGAGCTGAGTGTAAGGAGCCATAAAGACCTGAGGTCATTTTACCTTTCAACATTCTGAATGGAAACCATCCCATTAGTCACATTAGAGGAAGTGTTCGGTGGGTGTCTGTTGATCTCATGGAGGTGAAACAATAAACTGTGCACGTGCTTACTTTTTTAGTCTCTGGTACTGTTTGTTCTCAGGCTACATTTGGGATAGCCTGGTAATCACGCCATCTCAAGCTTACCTTTAGGAAGGAAGATGCCATTATTCGAGTTTACTGTTAGCTCTGGTTTGGGTGTGGTGATATATTGTTTACGATTTAATAAAGCTTGCCTGAAGAGTCAGAGAAGCAAAGCAGCCAGCCACTAGAGAGTTCTCCCCTCTACCAATGCTCGGACCAAAAGGGCAATCCACTGAACCTCAGACTGCACCTCCAGACTGCAGGGCTCTCCACCAAGCCTCAGACTCCAAAACTGCTCTGCTCTGCTGTGCTCTCCTCAACGTGGCTAGGGACTAATTGCCACATTGAGACCCTTTGCTTCTTCCTTTTATACCTCTCTAGTGCTGGGATTAAAGGCATCAGCTCAGTTTCTCTTTTGGACTGATTCACTCTTGTTTAGGTGGTCTTGAACTCACAGAAATCGATCTGCCTCTGTCTCCTGAGCCCTGGGATTAAAGGTGCCACCACTGCCCAGCTTCCATGGCTAACTACTGTGGCTGGCTTAGCATTCTGATCCTTCAGGCAAGCTTTATTAAATCATAATACATCACCACATTTGGGTATAAGCTTTGCTGACCCCTTACCTACTGTGGCAGTCTGACAAAGTTCCATTTGGTACAAAATCATTAGCTCACCACCTCCGGATTTCATTGTATGACACACCTCCACCCCACCAGGTTTCTGGGACTGAGAGTGGGGGTACACCTCACAGCATGTGTACAGAGGTCAAGGGGCAGCAAGGCATCTATCTTGTGCGATGCTTCAGACCCCAGGCTCGAATCTGGGGATTTCCCTGTCCCCTCCTAACCACTAGGGTTACAGATGTGCACGGAGACATCTGGCTGTTTAGGGAGTCAAACACAGGTCCTCACACTTCTGTGGCTAACACTTTACCCCCAACCCCAGCTCCGGGATTTTATGATTCCTGGAGGCTGGTAACTAGTAAAATAAATACCGTTGGAAGGTTGTTGCTAAAAGTGTCATCTAAGCTGGGTGTGGTGACAGTTACCTGCAGCCCCAGCTTTCAGGAGGCGGGAGGCTGAGGTGGGAGGGACCACAAGTTTGGGGCCAACCAGACAAACATAATGAGTTCAAGAATTTGTCTCAACACTCCCCTCCCAACACCCAACAGTGCTTTCTGTTAAAATAGTAAGTTATTTGTCATAGGAGGGCTTCCGTGAAGACCAAATGTGTTAACCTCCATGAAGTGGTCAGGATGTTTCTCGGGACCTGATTAGTGTCACCTGGTTTCCTACTGTGAGCTGAAAGTGCTCGTTGCTCTGTGGTTGAATACTATGTCAAGGTGTGTGACTTTTGTTTATGCTGCACTGGTTTAACTTTGTGAAGCTGTTACTGTGCCTGTCTAAAACACCAGGTGGTCCAGATAAAGAGCTGAACGGCCAATAGCAAGACAGGAGAAAGGGTCGGTGGGGTGGCAGGCAGAGAGAATAAATAGGAGGGGGGAAAAAAAACAAGGAAGAGGGAAAAGGTAGACAGGTTAATTTAAGATGATAAGAACTGGGTAGACACAAGCCAAGCTAAGGCCAGGCAGTCCTAAGAATAAACCTCCACTTGTGATTTATTTGGGAGCTGAATGGTGGCCTCCTCAAAAAGCCAAAAGCACAAAGAATAAAAACAATTCTCAGTTACTGATTGCTCTTTTGCTATCGATATCATGACCAAAACAAAAACAAAAACAAAAAAACAAAAAACCAAACCCCCAAACGACGTTTAGGCAGGCCTGGTAGCAGTTGTCTATGTTTCTAACACTTATGAGAGGCTGAAGCAGGAGGATTGCAAGTTTCAAACCAACCTGGTTTACATAGTAAGACCCTGTCTCAGTAGTATATTATTATTACAGGACCTTGCATATTCTTGGATTGCTGGCACCTAGAATGTAGTCTGACCTAAAATAAAAGGTATCACTAACCTGTGTAGCACAGGGCCTGCCTTCCTCCTCTGTTTCCTCCTGTGGGTCTCCCTGCTCTTTCTTTTGTCCAGCCACTCCTAACTATTCGAGGTTTCCCAGATGTATCATGCATTCCAGCACCACAGATCCTAAACAAAGTCCTCACCCCTTGGAATGTGTTTGCCTTCCAGCCTCCTTTCCCCAGTCTCCTAATCCAAATTTACTCCTTCATCTTCCCTCCTCCCCTCCATCCCCACCTCGCCCCGTGCGTCATTTACCAACTCTCAGGACTCCCTTGGCCGCCACCCTTGGCCACCACGAGGCTGTATCTGGATGCCTTTCCTCGAGGGAGGTCCAAAACACTCCCTCTGCAGACACTGGATTTAGTGCGCTGCACCCTATAAACTGGCACACGCAGCTTTTCTCAGTGGCGCGGGAGCTCTTTTGTGTAGTTTTGACTTCACACATCTGACACCAGGCAGCTTCTTGGCACCTGGTTGCAGATCATACCCCAGCCTCTGCCACAGCTTGTAAATCAGTAGGGCTGGAGTGTGGCCCGAGATCCACGGAGTCATAACAAACTCCCCAAGTGATTCCAAAATCATATGCAGCTTCTAGTCAGGATATTGCGACAGTAACCAGATCTCATCCCCTGCCCGAGTCTTCATTTTACTGCAGACAAAATAAATGGAACAAGGGTTTCGACGACGCGGCAGTGGTAATGCTGACAGATGAGAAGGTACACGAGCCCACGACTGCTTTAGAATGTGTCATGGAAAGCATTCTCTGGCTGCACTCTGAGACAGGAACCACCCAAAGCACAGCAGTCTGCTGAGCAGGAGTCCAGGAAGGGTGATGTGGCTTCAGGGCCTAGGGAAGGTAGGGTAGAGAGGAGAGCAGCACCCCAAGCTGCAGACATTCCCCAAGTCTACAGATGAGGGTAATTCACATGTACTTGTAGACAAATCTCCCCAGAGGCTTCACAACCCCCTGCAACTACTGAAAGGAGCGTTCACTGGAGGCAGGAGGAATGACAGTTTTAGAGATAGGCAGAACGCTCAGAATTTCTCTTCAGCGAAAAGCTTGCTGCACAATGCCCCATTGCCCGCGTAGTAGACACACCAGGAACTCAGAGCTGGAGAGGTAGAAACATGAGTTCAGGGTTCGCGAACCAACCAATGTAGCTGAGTCAGTAAGTTCTGGGTGCAGGGAGAGGCTCTGCCTCAAAAGATATGGTGGGAAGTTATTGACGGAGGAAGACACTACTTCAAAATTTGGCCTCCACACACATATGTTCACACACACACACACAAATATACCACATGCACAGGAAGGTTACAAAGGCAAAGGAGGACATTTATATGTTGATAAAATCTGAATGCTTGGGCTGGGGAGATGGTTTACTGGGTAAAAGGACTTGGAAATGCAAGCATAAGGACCAGGGTTCAAATCCCTAGAACCCACATGAAGTCCTGACATGTGGCATGAACATCCGTAATTGCATTTCTTCTATGGGGAGATAAAAGACAGAGTCAGGACCGTCTCCAGACTCCTGCAGACCAGCCAGCCTGATGTACACAATGTAAAAGTAAAAGAGACTCTATCTCAAAACAACGTGGTAAATGAAAACCAAACACCCAAGGTTGTCTAACCTCCACAAGCACACTATGGCACACAGGCACCTGAATTCACACGCACAAATGCATATGCACACATGTACACACATGTAAATTAAAATATTTTCAACGCATCAAGAAGATGTAAGTGAGGCAAGGCATAGTGGTGCACACCTTAAATCTCAGCACTTGGGAGGCAAAGGCTGGTAGACCTGAGTTCCAGGCCAGCCAGGGCTACACAGTAAGACCCTGTCTCAGAAAACAGAAGGTACAAGCTGGGTGTGGTAGCAGACCGGAGGCTAGGAAGGAGGATCATATGTTCAAGGACATCTTTGACTATACAATGATGTTCATATATATTTATGTCTATATAATTATTAACCACCTGAATTTAATTAGTGATACCCACGGGCATGTGGCCATCCACTAAGGCATGGGCCATCTACAGTGGCCATGACTCCAAAGGTAAGTAATTCTCCCTCCCTTAACAGCGTCTCATCTGTCCTCCAATGGGGGTTGAGCTTTGGAAACAGTAGAATAACTACTCAAGAAATTAAAATCTGAATTAGTACATAACACAGCAATTATATCTCTGGGTGGATTCCCACAGAATTGAAAGCAAAGACTTGAACAGAGACCTTTCAACTTTATCTTACATTGGGCATGCAAGGGGAGGTGAGAGTCACAGCCGGTTTGTGGAGGTGAGTTTATTATCAGGAGTCTATTCTCTGCATCCACCACCCATGGTGGGGATGAACTCAGGGACTGAACTCAGATGGTCATGCTTAGCAGGCACTTTTACTGGTCAAACCGTCTTGCTAGACTTTGGGCATGTTTTTTCCAAATATATGTGTGGTATGTATGTGTGTTCACATGTGTTTCATTCGATGCACAGGCAAGTAAACATATGTGTGTGTAAGCTTGAGATTGACAAGGGCAGTCTTCTGTCTTTTTCACTGTGACAGGTTCTCACAATTAAACCCATATTCACCAATACTGTTAGTCTGGCTAGCAAGCCTGATGTGAGAATTCCGTCTGCCTTCCGAGCACTGGAATTACAGGTGAGTCACCAGCCCCACTCAGCATTTATGTGGGTTCTGAGACCCCAAACTCTGGTCCTCAAGCTTGCATGGTGCTGAGCTCTGCACAGCTTCAGGGACTGACCTAACTGGGGCAATGAGGGAAGGAAGCAAGGACAGACACACAGACACATACGAATATCCTGCATACCAGATTTACATTACCTTTTATAACTATAGCAAAATTACAGTTATTAAGTAGCAAAAAATAACTATGGTTGGGAGTAACCACAATATGAAGAACTGTATTAAAGGGTCATGACATTAGGAAGGTTGAGAACCATTGGACTAAAAGCTGGTCATGATGAAACACAAATGTAGACACACTAAGGAAGTAAAAT